TTTATATATATATATATATATATATATATATATATATATATATATATATATATATAGTAATGGACTGACAGTTTTATTAATAAACATTTATCTTTTTTGTACCTGTTGACCACTCCAATCAGTCCTAGTTTGACAGGAATGACTCTGCCCATGAGAACATCCATTGCATCAGTACCAGCATCCATCAGATCTAGTTTAGTCACTACAGCCAGTGTTCTGCGACCTGAAAGCAGAAAAGAAAAGAATTCAAATGCTTTGTCACTAAAAAAAAATCTGCATCACACAGCTATGCGGAAAAACATCACATCACACAAACTGAAAGGTACAGACATTGTGTGCAAAACAACAAATGCACAAGTAGACCAAAATAAACTTTAGTATGCTGACCGTCTGGATCCACCTCACGGGCCACTTTCAGAGCTTCAGAGGTGGCCATGTCCGTGTTCGCTGCAGTGACAGCTAAAATGATGCAGTTGGGATTGCTGATGTATTTTAAGATCAGCTCGCGGATCTGCAGCTCGATATCTTTAGGCTGGTCTCCCACCGGGACCTGAACATGAATATATCAGTGTCAGCATCAAAAAATAATCCACAAAAGGAATATTCAAACAGGTCACACTAAGCTACTGAATTAAACACCTTTGTGATGCCAGGCAGATCCACCAGCGTGAGATTGACAACATGTGGTGAGAAGATTTTCAGGTGAATTGGCTCATCACTGATACCCTGTGAAACAATGACACAACGTTCTGTATTTGTTAAACTGCCACAAAATGTGGCAATAGACATGTCACAAAATGTCAATAGAAATTGCACTACAGTTCAAAAGTTTGGGGTTGGTAAGATTGTTTCATGTTTTTGAAACAAGTCTCTTATGTTCATTAAGGCTGCATTTATTGGATCAAAAAGTAAAAACACAAATATTGTAAAATATCATTACATTTAAAATAACTTCAATTCATTTGACTCAAATCCATTTTAATTCATTTTAAAAATGTAATTTATTCCTGTAATGATAACGCTTAATTTTCAGCATCATTATTCCAGGCTTCAGTGTCACATGATCCGTCAGAAATCATTCTAATATGTTGATTTGTTGCTCAAGAAACATTTCTTATTATTATCAATGCTAAAAACAGTTGTGCTTCTTAATATTTTTGTGGAAACTGTGGTACATGTTTTTCCTGGATTCTAAAAAGTTGAAAGGAACAGCATTTATTTTAAACAGAAATCTTTTGTAAAAGTATAATACCTTTACTTAAAGGGGTGGTTCACTGTTTTTTTTCTAGGCTTGATTGTGTTTATGGGGTGCAGTCTAACATGTGTTAACGCTTCGTTTTTAAAAAAACTCATTATTTTTCACATAATTTACCTTTATTCCACACCGCTCTGTTGGGTACCTAACCCTTCTCTCAGAAACACCCTGATAATTTCCTTCTTTTATGAAGCCCCTCCCTCAGAAATAGGCGATGGACTCTGATTGGTTAGCTAGCCCAGTGTGTTGTGATTGGCTAAACCGCCTAGTGCGCATCTAAATGTCCTGCCCCTCACCTCAGCGGCATGTGCTCGGGTTGTATTGTAAACAATGGCATCGTTAATATCGCTTATCAGTTTGAGCCCGA